ACCCAGAGGAGAAAGAAGAGTTTCAAGAGCCTGAGTAATCCCTCAGAGGTTTTATTGATTCATCTTCACCTGTAGTCAGCTGAAGGTCATTCAGCAACCTACAAGACCTGCCCCTAAGTCTACATTGATCAAGGGACTTCAACAGGTAAGGAGGCAGCCTATCAAGTTTGGAATCCTAAATTACGGCGCAGGGCCACTCTCTTCCTGTGGCTGAAAAGGTGAGAGCAAAGCTAATGTTTATTTTCATTGCTGTGCAAGGAGTTTCTTACTTCTAGTGCATCTATGTGTACACACACACACACACACACAACCCCTCCCCAACGCTAAGAGAACATTATGAAGGTTGCAAAGTCAAGCACTCAAATGTTAGGAAATGCCAAAATTAAGGTTGCCAGTGTAACCTTAATTCATCTTCCTTTTTTCCACAGGACCCCTGCCTCATTCAGGGCACAAGACGGATGGTGCTCACTGAATGAGCAGCTATTCAATATTTAGTTTTCTCATTGTTCAATTGTTGCCCCTGCTCTTATTTAGAGCACACTAATCAAACCCTGATCTGAAGACAGAATTATTTATTTCCTCATGGGCTTTTCTGCGTCCCTTGTCACTATAGTATGAGTGCTTCACAAGTGTTAACAAAGGTATTTTCGTGCCACCTATGTGAGATGGAGTGGTAATTCCCATTTTACAGATGGGGAACTGTGGCACAAAGAGATGAAGGTCAAAAGTATTCACTAATTTTGGATGTCCTGTTTGAGATGCCTGACATGATTTTTCAGAGGCCTTAGCATTCTACAGTATTAAACGTGTTTGAAGCACAGCTCCCAGTGACTTCAGTTCTGTGAGCACTTAGCACTTCTCTAAATCAGATACAGGGTCTCCATGTCAAGCACCCAGAAAATGAACGTACAATCAATCGCTACCTGTAAAAAGTTTGTTTTAAGTGACTTGTCTAGCATCATATAGTAGAACTCTGTGGCAGCAGCAGGGATAGAATCCAGTTCTCCAGGGAAGCATTCACCTACTTTAACCATGCCTGTCTCCTTGTGGGTATCTAGGCATCAGCTCATGCGCAACTTGTCTGAACCAGAGCTCCTAATCTTTTCCCCGCAAGTCCTTCTCCCACTCCTTTCTCAATTACTATGTAAAACACTGTCATCCTGCCTGACGCTCAGTCCCATAACCTGGGCGTCATTTGATCAGAGACCTCTGTGTAGGTCCTTACCTCCAGGCTATATTTAAAATTTCATGCAGATTTTTTTTTCTACATAATATCTCTTAAGATATGGCTTCCCCTATCCATTCACACAGCTAAAACGTGTCCAGGCTCTCATCATCTCACATCTCAGTTACTGCAACATCCTTCTCTCTGGCCATGACAAATTCAGTTTTGCCCCAGTCAGTCATTCAGAATGCTGCTGCAAAGATATTTTTTCTAGCCTGGGGCTTTGACCATGTCAACCCTCTCTGAATCCCTCTGCTGGTGGCCCCTTCTCTGTCACATCAAACATGAGTTGTTTCCCTTTCAAGGTCCTTCATGGCCTATCCACATCCTACCTATAATTCACTATCATAATGTCAACTCCTGCCTCCAAGTTAAATTTTCAAACAAGCACATTCATACTTTCTCCCATGCTGCCCTTGATGCCTGGGAGGAACTCCCAGTGAACAGCTACAAAGCTACCTCCTTCAAATCCTTCTTTAAAATTCCTCTTTTCCACAATGCCTACAAAAACATGACCGTGGTTAGGCCCTGCCTATAATACAAGTTCTTGCACTACCCTCACCACTAGTTTCTCAGTGCCTTCCACTAGTGCATTTAAGCAGTGTTTCTAATGTATCGCATGTGGTTCATTATCTCTCATCCTCTCCCCCGGGGGAGAATGTTGTGTGCAATGTAGTGATTTGTTTTGGTAGGGCAGGGTTTTTCAGGAGGGAGGTTGTTTTTAATATGTACATGCTGCTTCATGTTTATGTTGGAGAAGGCATGTCAAAGAAGTGCACCTTGCACTTGGAAAGGAAGATTATGGGGTTTGTGATATCCTTAGTTCTTGTGTGAGTTTGTTCTGCAGCCTTGGACCTGCACAGATGATTAACCTGCAATGAAGGATAGCAGTACATGTACATATTGACTGTCTCTTTGTTCTGTGTTTGTGTAGCCCTTAGCAAAATGGAGTCTTGGTCCATGGCTGGGGCTCCTAGGGGCTATGATATTACAAATAATAATAGGGGTGTCCCTTGCGTTCTGGGCAGGCTGACAGTACATCCCTTTTTAAAGGGTTTCGGCACTTGAAGTTCTATATCCACGACTCTATATGAAGAGAAGAGTCTTATATTCCATGTTGGAAGCTTTATAAATTAATTTAAAACTGCTTCTTTATTTGAAATAATTTAATGCAGCAACCTTTTTGCAATCTTGACAATCTTTTTCCTC